GCTTTCCGCAAACTATTTGCACGGTTTTCTCTCCGTCCAGCATGCTGTCTCGCTCCGACTCCCAGCGAAGCTTTCCGCAAGCTGTCTCGCTCCCTCCCAGCTCAGCAAGCTATTTCCACGGTTTCCTATCCGTCCAGCATGTTATCTCGCTCCCTCCCAGCGAAACTCTCCGCAAGCTATTTTCACACTTTCCTCCGTGCAGCATGCTGTCTCCCTCCCTCCCAGTGAAGCTCTCCGCAACCTATTTGCACGGTTTCTTCTCCGTCCAACATGCTGTCTCGCTCCCTCCCAGCGGACTTTCCCCAAGCTATTTCCACGGTTTTCTCTCCGTCCAGCATGCTGTCTCGCTCCCTCCCAGTGGAGCTCTCCTCAAGCTATTTTCACGGTTTCCTCTCCGTCCAGCATGCTGTCTCGCTCCCTCCCAGCGAAGCTCTCCGCAAGCTATTTGGACGGTTTCCTTTCCGTCCAGCATGCTATCTCGCTTCCTCCCAGCGAAGCTCTCCGAAACTATTTCCACGGTTTCCCATCCGTCCAGTTGTCTCGTTCCCTTCCAGCGAAGCTCCCCGCAAGCTATTTGCACGGTTTCCTCTCCGTCCAGCATGCTGTCTCATCCTCTCGCGCTTCCTCCCAGCAAAGCTCTCCGCAAGGTATTTCCACAGTTTTCGTCTCCGTGCAGCATGCTGTCTTGCTCCCTCCCAGCGAAGTTTCCTCAAGCTATTTCCACGGCATCATCCCGTCCAGCATGCTGTCTCGCTCCCTTCAAGCGCAACTTTCCGCAAGCTATTTGCACGCTTTCTTCTCCGTCCAGCATGCTGTCTCGCTCCCTCCCACCGAAGTTTCCCCAAGCTATTTCCATGGTTTTGTCCCGTCCAGCATGCTGTCGCGCTTCCTCCCAGCGCAGCTTTCCGTCCAGCATGCTGTCTCGCTCCCATCCAGCGCAGTTTCCCCAAGCTATTTTCCACGGTTTTGTCCCGTCCAGCATGCTGTCTCGCTCCCTCCCAGCGAAGTTTCCCCAAGCTATTTCCATGGCTTCATCCCGTCCAGCATCCAGTCTCGCTCCTTCCCAGCGAAGTTTCCCCAAGCTATTTCCACGGCTTCATCCCGTCCAGCATCCGGTCTCGCTCCCTCCCAACGAAGTTTCCCCAAGCGATTTCCACGGCTTCATTCCGTCGAGCAGCCGGTCTCGCTCCCTCCCAGCGAAGTTTCCCCAAGCTATTTCCCCAAGCTATTTCCACGGCTTCATCCCGTCGAGCATCCGGTCTCGCTCCCTCCCAGCGCAATTTCCCCAAGCTATTTCCACGGCTTCATCCCGTCGAGCATCCGGTCTCGCTCCCTCCCAGCGCAGTTTCCCCAAGCTATTTCCACGGCTTCATCCCGTCGAGCATCCGGTCTCGCTCCCTCCCAGCGAAGTTTCCCCAAGCTATTTCCACAAGCTATTTCCACGGCTTCATCCCGTCGAGCATCCGGTCTCGCTCCCTCCCAGCGAAGTTTCCCCAAGCTATTTCCCCAAGCTATTTCCACGGCTTCATCCCGCCGAGCATCCGGTCTCGCTCCCTCCCAGCGAAGTTTCCCCAAGCTATTATTTCCACGGCTTCATCCCGTCCAGCATCCGGTCTCGCTCCTTCCCAGTGCAGTTTCCCCAAGCTATTTCCACGGCTTCATCCCGTCCAGCATCCGGTCTCGCTCCCTCCCAGCGAAGTTTCCCCAAGCTGTTTCCAAACTTCATCCCGTCCAGCATCCGGTCTCGCTCCTTCCCAGCGAAGTTTCCCCAAGCTATTTCCACGCTTCATCCCGTCCAGCATCCGGTCTCGCTCCCTCCCAGCGAAGTTTCCCCAAGCTATTTCCCCGTCTTCATCCCGTCCAGCATCCGGTCTCGCTCCTTCCCAGCGAAGTTTCCCCAAGCTATTTCCACGGCTTCATCCCGTCCAGCATCCGGTCTCGCTCCCTCCCAGCGAAGTTTTCCCCAAGCGATTTCCACGGCTTCATCCCGTCCAGCATCCGGTCTCGCTCCCTCCCAGCGAAGTTTCCCCAAGCTATTTCCACGGCTTCATCCCGTCCAGCATCCGGTCCCTCCCAGCGAAATTTCCCCAAGCTATTTCCACGGCTTCATCCCGTCCAGCATCCGGTCTCGCTCCCTCCCAGCGCAGTTTCCCCAAGCTATTTCCACGGCTTCATCCCGTCGAGCATCCGGTCTCGCTCCCTCCCAGCGAAGTTTCCCCAAGCTATTTCCACGGCTTCATCCCGTCCAGCATCCGGTCTCGCTCCGTCCCAGCGAAGTTGCCCCAAGCTATTTCCACGGCTCCATCCCGTCCAGCATCCGGTCTCGCTCCCTCCCAGCGAAGTTTCCCCAAGCTATTTCCCCAAGCTATTTCCACGGCTTCATCCCGTCGAGCATCCGGTCTCGCTCCCTCCCAGCGAAGTTTCCCCAAGCTATTTCCCCAAGCTATTTCCACGGCTTCATCCCGTCGAGCATCCGGTCTCGCTCCCTCCCAGCGAAGTTTCCCTAAGCTATTTCCACGGCTTCATCCCGTCCAGCATCCGGTCTCGCTCCCTCCCAGCGAAATTTCTATATTTCCACGGCTTCATCCCGTCGAGCATCCGGTCTCGCTCCCTCCCAGCGAAGTTTCCCCAAGCGATTTCCACGGCTTCATCCCGTCGAGCATCCGGTCTCGCTCCCTCCCAGCGAAGTTTCCCCAAGCTATTTCCCCAAGCT